CAATCGTACAGAACATAGTACATATTCACCACCGTGACTACAGCTGATAACGTCGCAGTCGGTTCTGGCGGTTTCAGTAAGTGTGGAGTGAGTCCACCAGCGGCTTTTTACCGCCATTTTTTGTTCTTCCTGAATCAGTCACCATTGGTAGATCACCAACTAATGTACGGCCAAGTAAGTCAAATGATGGCTCACTCCGCCCCTCCTGACACCACCCCCTTGATTGCAGCGTTGATTTCAACAATGAAAGGTCAAATCTACAGCCCCAGAAGTCATACTGATTCTGTGGCCAAAAACTAAGAGAAGTGTGTGCAAAAAACAAACACAGTTACCGGCTGAGATCCCACCCGAAAACTGGCGTAATTACGGGTACTTTGGTGCCTGTCGTTCCAGAGCGCTGGCCTAGTGCCAACTTTTTTTCGCCGTTACGTCGTGCTGCTAATATCCAACTATCTAAAAAAGCACTGCATTTACAGCGTCTTTAAGAACATCCTCGAAGTCCCCCTCCGTCTCTTTGAATTCTGGACTCTAGTACTTCATAGCCAACTTTTTTGTACGCCAAACAGGTTTTTGTTTTTGCCAGTCTTGCAAAAACACCAGTCTCATAAAAAGTTCAACCATAAAAACTTGTTTGACGCGCAGTAAAGTCTATTCATAGCCTCTGCTTACTATTAGCCTCTATTGATAGCGTTTTCGACGATTTCTTTAAGGCTGAGATGCTTAGCACTTATGGTTGCATACCTAAGCCCCATGATCCTAATGTGGAATGTTACTTCGGAACTGATTCAATAGAGTGAGTTCGGGATGATTATAATGAGCTTATTTAGGTAATCAAAGTTGTAAACCTTCACTCAATGTTGATGGTGTTCACCGAACCAGAAGATGAGGGCCATGTGAGTTTTTCACAAAGATATCGATTATATCTTAAGCAGTTTATCAAGTCTTCTGGTACCCTCTTTACCGCCTCTTCGCTGATTTACTCTCTCATCTCTTTACTTTTGCCTGAATGATCTGTCGAAATTAGCTCAAAGGCCTGCCGAAATTGACTCTTTAGGTGCTATTACATGCGGGTGAGGCTTACTACCTCCATTGACGGGCTCTAGCCCCACAGGTTCCAAGCACCCTTTCTGACAAAAATAAAATTCCGGTTTCTGGTTCTCCTCTCCCTCATCCACCTCTTCCGGAGCACTTATTCCGGGGCACTTATATCCTCACGCAGGGCTACCCGTCAACAAATATCGCCAGTGACATACATGGTCGATCAGCGTGCATAAGGGCAGCAAATTTCATCTTTCACATACAGTCCGATCTGAACCAAATTACAGCTCTACGTGGTTTTTGCGCTAACGTAGTTGGCGAAGGGGTATGCCGAGAGGCTAGCCCGCAGTGGCCGTGACTACCTGCGCTCTTCTAGTACTATCTAGTACTAAGGCATGAGGATTTAGGGCCAAATAAAACTCAGTCCCTTTGCTGGCGCCAACTTTCTGTTTTTCGTTGCGCTCTCGCTCTGCATGGCGCTCTGCCCCATCACATCCCAGTTTTCATACATAAGAAGTGGTTCATCCACTCCGTTGTCATTTCCCTTTGAAAAAGTTCATCTTCTTGCTCGACGATATGTTTTTTGTACCTCTCTATACCTTAGCTGCCGCAGTTCCTTTTCCTCTTCGCTCTGACTTTTCGCAGCAGGACCGCCACCAAAAAAGTTAGTTGTCACGCAAACAGGCATGAGTAGAGGAGTGGGTGGTCGAAATCTCGGTGACAGGCCCAGACAAGCAAAAGGCACATACTCCCTCCCTCCAACTACGTTGTCGGACTAATATCTAAATCAGAAGAAAAACGTCTTTCTTGGAACAGTTGGTCCACTTAGGTTCACTTCGAGTTGCGAGTGTGTGATCAATGGGCTCCTATGGGCGACTACGAGGATACAGACACGTTACTTGTGAAAGCGTACAAGGTGGAGTGTAAAATTATGACTTCGTTGAATTTTGTATAACATAACGGCAGGCGTATTTTCATTTATTTGCAAGATTCCTATTCCAAAATTGAATGAAATTTAGTTGTCGGAGATTCCTGAGCGATTACATTGGGCAAACTCGAGATTTATGAGTGGTGTCGTGTTGCTCACGAAACCAGGAACCAGTATAATTACGGTACTTTTTGCAATATTTTTGAGCTACTGCTGTATCTCTGTTATATTATGTTAGTCTATATCCATCACAACTTACGTATAAACATAGTATATAACATACCACCAAAACTGGAGCTACTATGCGGGGCCCCAAACGAGCATCCACGCCACCAGAGGCGCGTGGCCGCTCTATGGAGAGGCTAGAGATCATGCTGCAACCGTGAGTTACCAGATAGCTCCTCCTGTCACACAGCTGCCCTGATTTTTGTGACTTATGTTGTGGTAGTCATACATGCAAGAAATTTTTTTTCACGTCTAGATATTTTTTAACCACGCTCTACATTGGTAATGGTAAGTCCGTAGTAATTTCTGCGGTTGCTCGACTTGTTCATGAACATTCGCTCATGATGCAGTTTAGCGAGAACTTTCATCGGTTCCGTCTGCGACCGACCAGTCACGTGAGGCGAAGCAAACCGGCGGTTGGGATCCTGATGCTACGCAAATGCGAGGCATTTTCATGGCCAGAGGCCCAGGTTCATATTTGCAGCACTTCACTTCTCGACCCTTGACAACACTGCTTCACCGTTATTTTTTTCAGCTTTCAAAGTCAACGAAAAAGTTGGACCTGTTGATATAGTCGACATTTATCAGGTGAGTGAATAGTTTGAATCAGTTTCTAGGATCAATTGAGTAAATTTACTTTGTTAGTTCGATGAACAACTTCGAGGTTTCAACCTACAGCGATTCCGCTGTTCAAAGTCGAACTTTGATAGTTTCAAGGACTGTTAGCCCATATCGATCCTCCAGCTCTATAAATCCTGCATCCAAGGTATACTCGAAATCCCTGAGATCGGGTAGGCGTGGCTGCATTGTTCAACTTAACCTGAAGGTTCTATGCTTCTGGTGAGATATTTTCATCTTGACACAATTGTTGTCGTGTCTCTGTCCAACACAGAACAAGATGACAGTTGTCCCAGACTGGAATATTCCACGAGTAACCAGTTCCGTGCCATGTTCAAATGCCACGCCTACTCTGGCTCAGGGATAAGGAGTGTACGTCCGGTCCATACCGTCAACGCGCCCCTT